ATGTTTAATATTTTTATTAGTTTATATTATAAACTAATAAAAATATTAAACATTCTTAGACCCTTGAGGGCAATGGTTTTACACCAATTGTCTTTATTCATTGGGGGCTCAATTAAAATGTTAGTTAGCCTTGGGTAGCTGTGGCTACAATGTAGCCTATCATCATTTGTGTGTTAGTGGTTGAATGATGTAGTCCAAAGTGCTTTGGGGRTCCTTGGACTTAATAAAGCACTATATAAGTTCAGGYTATTTATATTTTTAACTCCTTATTGCTGTTTTCAGCTCAGGGCTTGCATGAGTTGTCCCATAGACCCGTGACACCAGAAACTCTGGAAAAGGGAAGACTGGATTAAAATTACCAACACATTCTGCACTTTGTTTTCTGTTGGTTCAGTTCTCTAAATGTGAAACAAAGCACYTGTTTTGATGCTGCTTTTTCCTCACTCCCGTGTTGCTACGAGCCTCAAGGAAACATCTTTTGAACATAATTTTATGTGACAATCTGCAACAGGATATATTTGCAATGGAAATGCTTATGGAGTAAATACATCCTGTTCTCTTAATTTATTAAAGAAAAGACTTCCAGGAACTGATGCTGTATATCACTAGAATAGCTTTACCAAAGGTGAAAAGAAAGACATCAGCGTGTGCTAATTTGACCTTTTTCACAGGAAAGKGTTCACTATTTATTTCCCCTTATTATGTTACAAACAGGCATGTTTCAAATATGATCAATTAAAAAATATGACTTTATAATCAAGTTAATTGTGTGCCTTTCTAAATTGAGTCAAAATAATGGTCATGTTTTTTTCCCCATCCAGCTAAAGGACTCTTTATTTGTCATTTTAATTCTTTGTCTAATCTTAAATGTTTGTCCTCAGCTAGACAAATTCAATATAATCCGGTCCTAACCAGAACCTTTGTTGATCGTAAAATTTAACAATGAATTGTTATTATCTAAACCCAAACAACAACAATAGGGTTTTTTTGTCTGTTTCAAATCAAAGGTGGAAAAATTACTTGTGTTGTAAAGGTGTCATCTACCTCAGCCATGTGGCACAYTTTTTTTGTTATCCTTCATAGAAGGCAAACTAATGACTTGTTATGTCTTAACTTACAAAGCTCTTAACAACCAAGCTCTATCTTATATTAAAAATCTTCTATCTCCATACTTTCCTAACAGAGTACTTCACTCTCAGACTGCAGGTTTACTTGTGGTTCCTTGAGTTTCTAAAAGCAGAATGGGAGGCAGTGAGGCATTCCTGCCTCTACACCCTAATTGTCTGCTGCCATCTGCTGATTGATTATCAGCTCCACCTGTGATGGTTCTCATCTTCCACCCTTTAAAAGGCAGTGGCAGACATCTCCTCAACGCTGAAGCAWCGTCTACTTTTGGTAACGTTTCTCGGCCTGTGAAAATATCTCTTGAGCCTTACTTCGCTAACTTGTGTTTCTTGTTCCATAGTGAAATCCTCCTGAGCCCCACCCTGAGTACTACCTGTGGACAAAACCTGGAAGCCTTGGTATTACCTGGATCTCCTGCCTCTCTGCCTCCAACGCCTTCTCATGTAAATACTCACCTGTGCCATTCCTCACCACACGTTCAGTTTCCATCTGGACCCAAGCTTTCTCACCTCATCACTGGAAGTAAGCAAACGCAAGTTGCCTCTTCAATCTGTATCTCTCAAACTACAAGACTTGGATACTCACCTGTCGATCTCCTCCTCCTCAGATTTGGATCCCTGCACATTCTTCCCCACACCTGTAAAATAAACATTGTTTACATTTTTAACTTGGTTTCCTGTGAGTTTCCTTGCTGGTCTGCTCATCTGCCTTGACACGTGATAGGCAGAGCTTTCAGTTATCAAGCTCCTCTCTTGTGAAACCAACTTCCAGTTTCTGTCCACGAGGCTGACGCTCTGTCTACTTTTAAGATTAGACTGATGGCTTTCCTTTTTGATAAATCCTATAGTTAGACTTAGGTTTCCTGAATTATTCTTCATTTCTGCTGCTATAGACTTAGACTG